ATTTTGAACGTGATTTTGTGTAGCTTGTCAGTGAACTACGGCTCTGTGTAGTAAATGCCGCTCCATCTGAACGCACGTGCTGGAGCTTTACTACTAATCACAGGAGCAGCTTTACTGACGAGATGATTTTCGATTTTTTGCACAGCCCTACATACTGCATTCCTTTGCCACTGTGCTTTGGGAACACCCAGCACTGACGGATCAGAACCAGCACTCTACGCCGGCCAAGCGCTTTAGATCAACAAATGTCTTCGCCTTGCCTGTATGGGAACTCATTCTGCATGCTGCAGATTAGACCCGAGATATTTGATGGGAAGAGTGCCATGTAAAATGAGAAGTGTAATTTTTCAAACATTTGTGCGACATTTTATCTTCTTGCATGTAAGTGCCAAGTTTCTTAATGCCGTGTCACAGATCCGGTAATGGCAGCGTGCCATTTACAGTTCTGCTGGTGTTAAAAAGAAAAATATGTAATTTAAAACCCTAAATTATATAAACTGCATAAAATGCATGTCACTGTGATTTTCAATAATGATTTAAAAGAATATTTACTCACCCTCAGGTCATCCAAGATGTACAGATGATGAGTTTGTTTCTTCATCAGGTTTGGAGAAATGTGTCATTCCATCACTTGCTCAGCAATGGATCCTCTGCAGTGAATGGGTGCTGTCAGAATGAGAGTTCAAACAAAAGTGAAAAGCTGCATGTTTGTAAAAAAAATAAAAAAATCCACCAAGACATTTTAACCATCACTTCTGGCCAAATAAGAGTCCATAATAACATATTTTTCTCCTGTACGCTCTAATATGTATTTTTGTCTTGATTCACAAGGAACAACTTTTTCACTGGAAAAAGTGTTATTTTGGATTATGGACTCATATTTTAGCCAGAAGCAATGATTTGAAGTTAAAATGGAATCAGGATTATTGTGGATTATTGTGACGTTTTTATCAGCTGTTTGGACTCTCATTCTGACGGCACCCATTCACTGCAGAGCATCCATTGCTGAGACACTGATGCAATGCTACATTTCTACAAATCTGGTGAAGAAACAAACTCATCTACATCGTGGATGGCCTGAGGGTGAGCACATTTTCAGCAAATAATTTAGGACACAAAATAGGGCTGCACAATATATATAGTTTCAGCATCGATATTGCGATGTGTGTATCCGCGATAGTCACATTGCAGGATGTGTGATGTTTAGCATACTGATCATTATATTTATACTGATCGTTTTCTTTGCTCACACCCAGACACCGTGTCTACACTGGAAATGCCGCTCCGCAACAGCTAAAGTCTGTCTACACTGGACATTGCAAATCATTTGAACTTTGTGTCAGCACGTCATAAATAGAACGAGGCATCAGTTTACTGTCGGGGATTTGTCGTGTCATGCCGCGCCGCATCCAGTGTAGACAGCATCACTGATTATAATGGGTTCTATCGTATTTTTGTCGTGCCGCTCGCGTCTGGTGTAGACACGGTGAGAGCCACGCAGATGCACGTGAACACTGAATTCCGTTCTCTTCCACATCTATTCGAGCCTGAAATGACTATACGTGTGAAATTGTCAAAATGCATGTCTCTGCAAGTATCCTTGTAAACACAGTTACTTATGGCTTAGGTGAAGGTAAACAATTGAGAAAGAAAATGGATGTGTAACAGTATATTGGTTCACAGCAGTTTAATGTTCCTGTTGCTTTCTGTGTCACGAATGCTAATCAAACAAAAGAAAAATCACTTTTGTTGCATTAACACAGATTTATTAGATTTAATTTATACAGTGAAGACTATGCAGTGTTATTTTATGTTTGATTATTCAATACATTTCTGTACCTGAATACTGTTAGACTTACTTGAAAATATAAAGCACTGTTTATTTCATTCTTTAGCTCCTGTCCGAGGCTAATTACCTGCGCTCTCTCTAGATGCCTGTTGCTGATTAATGCAGCACAGAAAAGCTGCACTTTCCCCCGAGAAACTCGGAGGAAAAGCTGATGTTTAACTAAAGTGCTCACTTGGCAGAAAATAAAGTGCTGCTGGCCTCATATAACACATTCATTAAGTGGAGTGTGGCGTGGCAGAAAACACACAGGGTAAAACTTGTTTTAAGCCTTTTTCGCCGCCGCCTTTAATGGCTGTAGGACATCAGTAAGGGAGCTGTGATGTCCTTCACAGCATAGTCCATCCCAAACTTACTTTGCTCTTTAAAACTGTCACTCATGATGAGAAGCAGCCTGCAGTGATGTTCCCACTGACAGTGATTTGAAAAGACAAAGCGACCGGAAATCATTCATTTTCAATGAGAAGCAACAAGAGTGACAGAAAGCACTGGGGATGCGACAGAGTGCTGAGATCAAACTATGGAAATGTAAACATAATGCAGAGACTAGGGCTGAACGGTACTGGGGAAAAAAAATTACATTTCAATATTTATTGCATTTCTGATTTTTGATTGGGGAGTGAATCTGCATAGACAATAAAAAAAACAAAAAACTGAAGAGTGTGGACTGTCCTTTTAGGGTTAAAATGTGGGTGTTCATGTACTCTTTATAAGAACCAGCTCAAACCTCTTTCAGTAACCATAAAGTGAACCAAATAAAGTTCAAATTAAATAAATAAATTAATAATAATAATAACTCCTTTCTACTTGAGTTTTCATTTGCCACATTCCCACTGTTGGACCTATTCAGTACGACTAAATAATATAATGAATTGTGATTTTATTATTACATAAAATAAAAAACAAAATAAGAAATATATATAAAAAAAAATAGGCCTAGTATTGTTATGAAGTGGAAAAATCAAGTAAAAATGATAAAGT